TAACCCTCCTTCTTTCCCAGCATGCCCACTCTCACCTCTGCAGAGCCCCCCCCACCCCCCCACCCCACCCTCAATAACAGGTAAAAATAGATGTGGGCCAAGTTATGCTCTCCATTTGAATTCTAGCTAGACATGATCTGATGGGAAAGAAAGGTAGAAAGTAAGGAAAGAAAAACTGGAAAAGAATGAAAGGAAGAAAATGTAAAAAGACAAAATGAGGAAAAAGTAAATAGGTGAAGAAAGAGACAGAAATTGAAAGTACGAAATCAAAGACAAAAGAAGTGGGGAAAGTAAGGAAAGAACAAAAAACTGTAAAGAACTGGAAAATATAAATGAGAAGACAGAAAAAGTAAAGACATAAGTGGAAGGAAAACAAGCAGCTAAAGACACAAATGAAAGAAAGAAATGGAATGAAAAAGAAGTAAAGAGACGTGGAAGAAAAAAGAAACGGGAGAACAAAGAAATCAGAAGAAAGATGGAAAGAAATAACTGAGAAAAACAAGAGAATTGGGAAGAAGCAAAGAGAACAAACTAATGAATAAAGAGGGCCAGAGGAGGAGAGAGAAAGAGGAGGCAGAACGACGGATTTTTGGAGAATGTCACCTACCTAACCTTGTCACCATGTTAAGTCAGCTGTGATTAATTAGTTGAGTGAGACTGAGCAATTAGGTCAGGAGTTTGGGGCATATGTGAGTACAAATGTGTGTATGTATGCATGCATGTGTCTGTGTGTCTATGCACAACTTCTTTATTTTTTGGGGGGATCAAGATCCTTTATTAACAAAGTATGTAAGCAGTATGTGCAACATATGAACAAAAAATATGTTCTAGCTTCCCCTAAGTCAGCCCTGGAAATTCTGTTTATACACAACAGATTTTAAAGCAGCAAATACGCTTTTGAATGAACATAATGCTGAGTGAATTACATTTTCTATTAATACAAGGAGGAACTGATGTTATTTAACATATCTGGCAAGTTGCGAAAATGTTAAGTGACGTTGTATTTCAGTTGTTTTCCGCTAAAACAGGCAACCATTTAACCAAAATCCAGATCCAGATCTTTAACTAACCCTAACTTAAGTGCTTTTGTTGCCTAAACCTAAAGCAGGAGTCTGGATGCAAACCTGGAGTTCTGCCCTTTGTACCAACCTCCCCAACCACCCTCTTACAAAGGCTACACGGTACCTAAATGTAGTGTTTCTATACCTAAACAAAATGTCTGCGAACATAATCCAGGCTGCGTTTATGTTGCCACAGCAACCTAATTAAGAAGCAGTTAAGAAACAGACAGGGTTGCCTACCTGCTCCATGAGGACAAGAACAATTCAGAATATAGAAATGAAATAAAAGGTATATTACAAGTTCAATTTATCTGCTTCCCTGTTTTCAAAAAAGGTTTAAGTTTTCCAGGATTGATCCATTAATGGAACACTGAATCTTCCCCAACTGGATGTAATTCATGACCTCCTTAACCCACTGTCCGTATACTCACTGCAGTTTCTCCCTACACTCAAAACACAGTAAATCTCCAAGCAAGTGGCAAGCACTGGCCTTAGACATGGAGCGAACCCCGAACAGTTCAATGAGTGCTGATTGCTCTGATCTTCTTTTGTGTATATATTTTTTAAGAAAGTGTTAAAGATGGATTTCCAAAAGCCGTTTGCATCAGTCCCATGTGGGTCTGCTCTAATCTCACACAATCCTGCTTTGCATCAACGTAGCCGACGTACAATTTTAAACAGTTTGATATGCGACTTGCATTTGAATTCCGTGTCAAATCTGAATTTACAACAAAATGCAAATTTATAAAATGGTCGTATATTCCTAGTTTTTGCTTGGTTTGCAATAAAGAAAACCAGGAGGGGTAGAAATAAGTGTTATGAAAAAAGGGCCCTGTGGTGTATTATCGCAGAAATGTGGCTCGAGATTCCTTTGAAAGAGTTTGAGGATAAGAAACCCTGAGACAAATCCTTGAACCAGTAAAGGCTTACAAAAGATCATATTTAACAATGATGGCTATATATTTTCCTTTTTGCAATTAAAGAGTCCCTCTGTGTAATTTAATGCTTCTTTTCAAGTGTCGGGTCCCCTGAGACTTGGCCTGTAGCTATGCCATCGCTCTTGGTGATTATCATTAATGAATGTCGGCGAGGACCATCCCTCAATGTGACTAGGGAGGAAACACAAGCCCTAATTAAAGGTTCCTATTCATAAATATATGCCTCAAACTGCACGGATCGACAGGCGCTGTGCACACAAGTCATTTTAATGTCAGAAAAAGCACCTTTTTAAGAGCGTTTTCTCCCTTAATGTACAGCACAGCAGCAGCAGTGACGGATTTCTGCAGCCAGAGCCCGCAGCAAGGGATCTGTGCAATTTGAGATTCACAGATTTAAATTTAGGAGTAAAGCCGAAGATTAGGATGCACTAATTTGACACGTAAGAAGACTGATAACAAAATATCTCGACTGCTAACTGCAGCCTTACTGTGTAACTGAACACTGCGCTACAGTTTCTGCATGTAATCCTCAGGAGACTCTTTTGTGTTTTATCACAAAAGGTTACAGGGAGCTCCTTGTGCTGAGAAGTCACACTGTGCATGGAAACTTCTTCTTGTGTCGAAGCAATGGAAATATTTACAAAATGAAAACGTTTAACTGATTACAGGGTGTCACTGAGAAAGAAAATAATCCCTGTTGCTTGTGTTCCCTCATAAAAAGTAATTTTAATCATTTTAATTGCTCCAAATGCAGACTGACAACTGCTCTCATAAACACTCGCGGTTGCATTGTGGCATCAGTTTCCCAGACAAAGCTATTGGTAATTGTTATGTGAAGAAGATCATGTTAACATTGAGGATAATATTGAGTCTGTCTGAATGTTGTTTTTTTTTTTTTTTTCACAGGGGGCTCAAAGAATCCTGTTGGAAAAAGGAGCTTGGTGAGACAAACATTTGGCTGCGTCTCTTTCCTCCTTAATGGCTGAAAAATGCTAATTGGAGTGCATGTGTCAAAGAAAACAAAAGGGAAGGGAGGAGGAGAGGGAAGGAGTGTGCGTGTCAGAGAGGCTGGTATTTTGAAACGTGAAATATGTCACTTTATTTCGCCGAGTTGGGGAGGATTTTTGAGCAAGGTTGTTTCCCGGAAGCAGGAAATCACAGATAAAGTTACGCCTGTGGTGGTGTGTAATGTAGCTCGTGTTTAAATAGGGGGAGAAAAATGCACTTTCAGACACTCTGCATGTATTCTGCTGAACAATTATTTCACAGATCATGTAAACAAGCTGAAGCCGCTTCCTTTGCTTTCAGCTTTCTTGTTGCTATAAAATAACACCTCGAATCCCTGCGAGACTCGGATCCTTTAATAAACTTGCATCTGTCACTGCTGCACAGCATTTCATCACAGTCGTCGTCCAAACTGACAAAAATCAAAAAAAGCTCAGGTGGGGATTACAAACCTTTAATTGCATTGTCAAAACTACAGCAACATATCGTTTTTTTTTTTTTAAGTCTACACATTAAACAAGTCGAGGAAAAGTAAATCTCTATAAAATATCAAAACCCTTCCTTTTCTGCCTCTCTCTCGCTATCCATACTCACACTTGGCATTTTAATTATGCAGTCTTATCTGATAGATGTGGAGATATAGCTCATGTCAAAGTTAGAGCCTCTTCTTTATTAATTTTTTATTATATATTCTTATATTCAGGCTGTCAATGAATGTCTGGAATCTGATAGGACCCATCATTGATTGAAGATTACTCAAGATTATGAAGAGAGGCATTATCATAAGCTGTAAGCCTTCGTCATTCCAAATGTTCACTTATTTGAATGACACTAAGGGAAAAGATTACACTCTATTTTAGTCCACCAAGAATAAGTTTGGACGTCCGCCGCTCCGCACAGCTAACTAACACTAAAATATAAAAGAGGAGCTTCGTCAGAGAGCATATCAACGAGACTTTAAACACCACGTTAAACCCCTGACAGCACATTTGCGGTGCATTACTTGTACTCGCATGCCAGAGGAGCCCAAACCTTTTGACATCAGAGGTTTATGGCTGCAAAATAGCTCGGGTGGTTCGCCACAGGCCAAAATCTGCAATGCAACTTTAATTATTTATGAATATTAAGAGGTGGGCGTTAAAGTCTTGGTTTATGTCATGATGATTTTTGTTGATATACTTTGCAAGGTGATTCAAAATACATCCTCAGATTTAACTGAAATAAAATGTGTTGACAGATGAAACATTTTAGGATCATATTTGTATAATAAAACTTCTATTGACTGCACAGCAAACAGATCCACTTGAACATATTTTTAGCTTGTTAACCGGTGTCAGACAGAGGTGGTAAATGAATTAAATCACACTACAGTATGTGGCTCTAACACACATTTTATATCATCTACCTTTGCAGTTCTTTTTCATGTGATGCTCTCTGTGGTTGACATGATGATAGAAGTAGGAAAAGTACAGAAATAGTAGTGAGGATGATGAAGAATAGAGGAAGAAACAAGGAAAGAAGGTATTTTTTTTTTACAGTGGTAGTTGTTAAAGATGTTTTAAAAGTTGCATATTTTTTGTGTTGCATGTTTGACCAGGAAGCAGCACACCACAATTAGTGCAAAGATGTCGACAAAATGTGAACACACAAACCTCAAGGCAAGAATTTGGTTTTATTTGCTTATTAGATTTTACAAATAATTCTCAGAATTGTTAGGCGGCATACAGAAAAAAGTCCAAATGAAATTATAGCTCAGTAGAAATTGTTATTATTCAGGGAGTTCATGTGAAAAATGTACTGAAATTTAACACATCCTGTTTTTACTATTAATGATTTTTCTCACTCACTGTTGAACTGACATTAATTGACCACATTTATATGAGTAAATATGGATTGCTGGCATATCATTCCCAATATTTTATTTCATACATCTTTTTGTCATGATTTGGTCATGTGAGTTTAAACGTATCAACTTTTTCCAAACAAGCTCCCTCACCTATTTCGACAACCTGCAGAGCTCCTTCGCAGTACGATCCAGTCGATCTCATAAACAGCTGCTCCTTGCAGATAGTCATGTCAGACCTAGAGAGAAAAAAGACAGGAGACAAAAGAAAGCAGAGAATAATGTATGTAAAATATACATGACGACTACATGGCTGCTCTCACCCGCTCTGAGGGGAGTATCGTCACGCAGAAGAGAAGGAAACAAGATGACATGTCATCACGCTGTCACTGTGCCACAGTCTGTGGAAGAGGGGCTTCATGTATACAAGTTGGGGATGGCGGGAAACAACTGTTTGTGCGCTCGGCTTTTGTCATACATGCGCATGGACACGGCTAGTTGCATCAAGGGTAGTGTGGCTGCTGTAGCAAGCAATTTGGATCATGTGTCCTGATTATGTGTGGCTTTCTGTTTGGAAAAATATGCACATATCTAGACATATGACACACTGCACATATAGGTCAAAGGTTATGAAGAGAGAAGTGCAAAATTGAAAACAGTATATTTTTTGTCTGGGCTGTAAAGTGTAAATCATGACTGTGACTTTCAGGGATGCTTTTAAATAAAAGCCCAACTGATACACACAAATACACGTTTGTACTTTCACAGTAGTCGTATATATGCCGTCCAAAAAGACGAGAGACAAAGAAGAAAAGAAAAGGAAAAATGAGCAAAATACCATGAAAAGAGACGGACACTGTGCAAGAAATTCACCACAAAGACATAAAATTGTTTCTAATAACAGGAAACTTTGTCATTTTAACACGAGCGTGCTCTCGTTCTCAATAAGTCCTGCTCATGTTCAGACATTTCAGTGCAGAGCTGGTTCCTACCCCTGCCTCTTGAACCACATGTCCCCCCCTGCTGGCCCAGGATCAGATCCTGCACAAGCTTCTCTGCTGTGATTCCAAAAACCATGCAACCTTGCGTGCAAGAAAGGAAGCCTCACTCTCTAAACTAACACCAAAAAATAAAAGTGAACACACCAATATATTCTCACTTTTGTTGTGTATTATGACAGAAGATTGGCTTTATTTATTTATTCTCAGTTTTTACTCACTGACCTGAACGTTTTCCTGAATAAAGATCTCATATCATAATGAGTACTGAAGGTTGAAAGCAGTTTAAAAGCCAGAAAGTATTATTTTGTTCAAATAAGCAGTTTATCTTGTTGGATTTTAATATTGCAGCAAAACTAGTGAAAGAAATTGTGTTACAAAAAAACTGTTAACTCCACTCAGTGGCTGTGAGGCAGCTTATACCTGCATCCCTGATGTAATTACAGCCAACCTTTACTGTTTTTGTTCAGTGGATGAAGTGCTGCAGTATTAACTACCTCTCTGAGCACACTTCTGCTCTGCACGGTCACACTGGATTTACCTCACACAACAGCAAATTCAAGCAGTTTGCTTAATATTCAGCAACAGCATTCACGGTTATTTAAGTGAGCCAGAAGGAGCCACAAAATTAGGTGTTACAGTTAAAGTTAAACCTTATATTTCATGTTAGTATGATCAGGTTTTATTGTGTAGTGTTTATTTAAAACTGTAAGGATTTAAATCTAAATATGACCAGTTTAAAAAGTAGATGCACATTTTATAGTGTGTAAAGCAAATCCAAAATAAGGAGTGATAATTTGTGAGCTGCACCTCTCCTGTCTGTCCGTTTTGGGATGGAAATGTTAGTGACGTAAGTCGGCTCCATCAATCAGCGGGCAGGCCGCTTTGACAGACAGGGACAGACAGATGCTGGGGCGGTACTTGGTATTTCTTTTACCACATAATAGGCGACCTCAGACATCCTCTCTGCGCAGATGATCAGTTTTCGCAGACAGGCAATGGCACAAAATAATACCGAGCGTAAAGACGCAGAAATCTTGTGAGGAGCTTCAGTGCTGTGCGTAATGAGGAGGAGACACCCGGCTGTTTATTACCTGTTCACTGAGATAACAAGAGGCTGGAGGGGTAAATTCAGACACTCACCTGAGTATGTTAAACCAGGGCGGTTTGCAGAGAGTTTGTAATCCAGCTTCTTGTAAATGATCTGGTCCAAACCTCCGATCGGAGCCGCTGGAGCTGTCTGAATAATGTCCTTAAGTCCCGTAACTGGCCGCGGACGGATGTCATGAGAGCTGGCTCACTTCAGACTGGATGCGCTCTTCCTCCAAGTTATTTACTGATTCTATAACTCAGTAATAAACACAAACTTTTCCCCTTCTTCTCTCTTCTTCACCATCCTCTCCTGCAGTAACCGGATAAATCATGCTGTCTCATTTGAGATCACATTAGCCTACTTGTGTGCCCTTTATAAACACTTTATGGTGGATAATAGTTAGGATGGAGTGTAGGCTATTAATGGAGCCTCTTGTGGATTCAGAGCCCCTCCCCTTCACCACAAGCCTCACTAAAAAGGTGTAACGAATCGATCTGCAGCCTCCTTTGTCCCGCTAAAGAGGTCACCGAAAAATCTGCACATTTTTTAAGCAAACTTTGGAGCAGAGCTCAGAGCTGATCTGCAGTGCACATTTAAGACTGTCTGAACAAGTGAACTCCTTATTTCTCTTATGTTTTTGTGCATAGGTGAGGAAAAAATCAGCCATAACATGTTTTATGCAAGGGAAAACTTGATATAATGTCATGCGTAAATGTGGCAGTTTTGAGATTTTGCAGTGCACATAATTTAAGTCCCACTGTTTACATGAATTATTAGTGATTGATGTTTCAGGGTATAATCCCAATAATCAGTCAGGCCTGATGTTGCTGTGCTTGTAGCGAAGATTATCCTCCTTGTGTCGGATCAACAAAGATTAATAGGTTTATTGGTTGATACAATCTATCTTTTTTTATTTGCTTATTTGGGTATGTGTTGCAAATTAAAAGTCAGGATGTGTATTGATGCTGTACCTTAACTGTAGCAGTGACTATTATACCAAATCTCATGTTGGTTTTTAGAAATCTCTCCCCCCCACACACACACGCTGCACGTCAACTTTTCGAGGCACCTCTCATTCTGCTGTTTTCCTGCAAGTTTACAAATCGGCCACTCGCATGTTGACGCACAGGACGCGCCTCTCCTGCATATGTGCGCAGACACGAAGGCGTTGAAATGAAAGCCATCCCAGTGAACAATTAGACCCGCAGATTGACAGGTGGGCTCTGACTGTCAGGGTGACGCTTGTGGAGGGGTGGAGTAAAGGAGAGGCCGGAAAGGCAGCTGGATGTGTCTGTCTATCAGTGGGAGCTGTCTGAACGCACCGCGCATCACCAATGTGCGCACATTTCACTGCGGAGAATATCCAGGGACGCTCGTTGCGCTCTTTAGAATAAACAATAATAAATCCAAACAACAACAACAACAACAGTGAGCACACAGTCTGCGGCTCAGAGGGCGGGCCTGCTCGGTGTGTTTTGTGATGACTTTCTGAGAAATTCGTCAAGTGTCTGTGTTGACAATCGGACGGACGGCGTATATGTGAGTATTTCATTATCTGGGGGGTGTTTTTCGGGAAGACGGGGTGTGAGCTGATTGCTGCGGGCTTTCTCCGCACACACACTTGACTGATTGACACACACCCAGTCTGGCTAACGTGTCACTCTTTCCTCTCTTTTTTCCACTGATTTCCTTTCCAAAGAGCGGAGCTTGGAGACCGGAGCTGGCACCTGGACGGGCGGACGGAGGGGAGCAAGGCACTAACAGCGCAGTTTGGACTCGTCTCCACCGCCGAGTGAGTTAAAAAAAACGCAAGAAGAGGAGCTCCGTTGTCTCCACTTTTGCTGTGAACAGAGGCATGAAATAGTACAGTGAGTGGTGTGAAGATCTTTTGATGGAAACGCGGCGAGCAGCTCCGGCAGCTGTCCGTATCCCCCCCTCCACAGACTGAGATCCGCACGGAGCTTCCGCCAGTTTTTCACCGAGCCAGCCTGCGATGAGTTTCTGTGATCGGCAGAAGTTAACGGACTTCTGTGCCCTGTGTGCTTTAAATCATTTGTAAGCTGCATTTTATCTCCGGACATAACGACTCTAAAATGATCAGAGATTAAACCTCCACTTGCATCGATATAGAAAGAGACTTCTCCACCCTGCGAGGGATCTACACTTTCATTCTAACATCCCGCTGAAGAACTGAGGAAACGCTGCTGGCTTTGATTTCCTCCTTTGGTTTCCTCTCCAGCTCGTCCGCTATTTTGATCTCTGCATGAAAAGTCAAGCGGAAAGTCTTGCAGCAGCATGCCGAGGAGAAAGCAGCAAGCACCGCGGCGGTCAGCAGGTAAGCCCCGGTCCTCCAAACAAACACCCACCAAGCATCAGACACACACACACACACACGCAATTTATTCCCCCAGCATAACCAGCCAGGGATCAGTGTGCAGACAAGTTTACACAGCAGCGTACAGGCCTGATTGCAGGGCACAGCACAAGGACAGCAGGACCTCTCATGTGCTTTCATTGTGGAGCCAAGCAAAATTTCACCATGCATAGTTTTCCAACATCTCAACAGCCCATAATAAGTTTATTGCTACTAATCTAAGGCGTGTTTGACTGGCAACAGCATTGTTTCATTTACGCAGCCATGCCTCGGTGCCAATTCTGCCTCTTGAGAAATGAATGCGCTCAGCTGCACTTCAACGCTTTAAAGCTGATCCTCCACGAGGTTGCCAGCATCCAAGTTCTCCAAACAAAGCTCATCTTATCTCATTTTTACAGGCTAACGTGTTTGATGTGTTGGTGCCAGTAAAAAGAAAAAAAAGAAGAGAGAGAGAGAGAGAAAGAAAAGTGGCGTATTTTCAGCTTGTGTTCCGCTCTGGGATTGCCATCCTTGATTTGATGCTTGATTGATCGCCTGTCATGCGACTGCCTTTGATCTATTCATTCCTGATAAACATCAGTAAATCATTCACCATAGAGACACGCATGCGCCCCGGTAGCTGGACTCCCTCAAAGGATAACTTTTTGCCCCCGCCGAGGAGCAAAGAAAAGACAAATTGAAAGAAAAGTTCTCAAGCGGGATAAATACTTTGCGATTAATACCCAAGGGGGAGGGAACAAGGGATGAGGGGAGGAGGGGTGCTGGGGCGTAGCGAGATCACAGGGAAGCATCTCATACTGAAATAGCCCCAAAACACTGCAGGGTGAAGTGGGGAGGTTACCTCTAATGGTCACTGCAAGCTCTTGACCTGACCTCTGTGTCCATCCAGGAGAGAAGGAAGTGTGAATCTGCCATAAATGTTGAAGAGGCAGCAACATATATACACCTCAACATGAATACAGCAGTGATAAAGTCTGTGGCTTGCTCAATATTAGATAAAGAAATGTAAATTATAGTATTTAGGTGTGTCTCAGATGAGCAACTTCATTAATAAGTGTTGCAATCACACTGCACAAGCTTTTTTTTTTTAGAGAAAACACCTCACAAAAGTGAATAATGACAAATTCACAGAGAAATTCAACGCCACAATTTCTGTCTCAGCTCCCACATATCTCCCTCTGACAGTCGTGCCTGCATGTTGTCGTTAAGTTGACCAGACGTGAACTGTTCTGAGAGAGAATCGCATGTTTGCCTGAATCCATTTGATGTCCCTGGGCGATGTGAGTGATTGACATGCATTTCCAAATGACGGGGGGGGGAGAAGAGGAGCCTTTGAAGTTTGTGCAGTAATGACCAAAGCCGAATAAAACAGCTGTAGAATGTTAAGCAGGCGGTGGAAATGTGAGGTTAAGCAGACTTAATCAAGGTTGTGACAGAAAGACTTTGAACTCGGTGGGGCTGTAATTTCTAATTGACGCCAGGCTTTAGTGATGGATAGAGAGAAATGTGTTTGAAGAACAGGCCTGAAAGTGAATAGTGTCGGTTTATACCTCCGCCACAAATAGCGGCGAAATCCCCAAAAGAGAGCATGGAGGGGGGAAGAAAAGAAAGTGTTTCCTGTTTTCCAGCCTCTTCTGGTCACTCAGCCGAGCTCTGAAGTGGCCCCATTCCGGCTCAGCTTTTGAATATTGATTTAATTGTCTGTTTTTGTGACAGACACATACATCACAGGCAGTAATGGTCAATCCAAACTTGGCAGGCTTTGTCTCTGCGTTATTTCCACAGCGTGACTTATGGTCAATCCAAAAACTTAAACACCTCTACTGAAGTGTGTGTATGTCCTCGGTGAAATGGCGCACACGCACCTTTAAACACAGGCTATTTTTTTTCTTACAATGCATTACCAGATATTTCCACAACCTGGATTTGTCACTTTGGAGTTGCACTAAAACAAAATGTTGCGTACGCTCCTCAGAGGGAGAGGGAGAGAGGTTTCAATGGCTCTTTGTATGCCATTTCAAATGGGCTCTGTTTCATCAGTCACAGTGATGATTTTAGACCCTGTAATGGCGCTGTACCCTATCTACTTTATGACCAGTGACAATACATCAGTGTTCTTTCATTTGGAACCGCATTACTGCATCTGTTAGTTTTGGCAGTTGAGTTCAGTGCAGTGCAATTTGAGCAGGAGAGACTTTTGCTGCAGTCATTTGTCGTCATTTTCCGTTTTTCCCCCTTGTCTCCTCTCACTGAAGTGCAGTTGTGTTGGGAGGTATTTCTCACAGGACCTCGAGGTAAACAATGCAGCAATAACAAGTGATTAAAATGAGAGTAAAAATGAATTCGGAGGTGGAATTTTAAAAGGGGCCAGTTTTGTTTCGTATTTGTGATAAAATTTTATGTGTTTAACTTGTATTGACCTTTCCAGGTTAGGTGTAAAAGTAATGTCATTGTGCCAGTGTTGCCTTTGATCACGTGAAATTGAAATAAGCTGGAACGATTAGTCGATGAACAGAAAATTAATCGGCAACACTTTTCGTTTTCATCATTTGGCTTGTAAAAAGGCGACTATTCTCTAGTTCTGCATCCTCAGATGTGACGATTTGCTTCTTTTCTTTGTGTAATGTTGCAAATTTTGTTTATTTATTAATTTTATTTTATTTTATTTTGGACTGTTTGCCAGATAAAACAATTTGTTACATTGGGTAATTTTTCAATATTTTCTGACATTTATTAGCTAATCAATGATCAAAAACATTTGGTAAAATAAAGAGTTTGATACTAACTGCATCTATTTTTAGCGCCCCTTAAAGCAAACCATACATTATATGGGAGTCTTGAATCAGTAGCATTAGCATGTATAAATATGGCACCTTACTGTACATATGACAGCCAGATAACAAGTAATTAATTTAGGTTGTAGATGTGAGATATTGTATATAAGATATACCAGGAAGCCATAATTCTGTATTTGCCTTGATACTGAGGTCACAGTTTTGATTG